CACACACACACACACCCACAGATCACACACACACACACACACACACACACGCTGTTAGCTTCATTTAAAGCTAAACTAGTCAGTGTAGCCTGGGAGGATGAAGACTGTCCAACTAATAAAAGATGATTTTCAGGACTGAACTACAGTTAGTCTGTTTCCTCTGAGCCCAGTTTAATGCTAACCTGTCACCTGAAACCAGTTTTATTTCCAGTGTCTCAAACTGGGCTCAACAAGCAGAACGTAATATGGAATTAATTATTTAATATATAAACTTTTCTATTTAATCAGAAAGTTGTTCTGGTATCATGTTGTGAAAACGTTAAGCTGCCACTTCCTGTCAGAAACATCCAGACCACTGCTCTGCCATGGAGCCAGATTACTCTCATGTTGAGTTAAAAGTCAAGATTTCAGCACCATAATCTCTAAACCTGCTTACATGGCCATGGTAATGGGATGAGTTTATTTATTTCATTTTATTATCAGGTTTCTGATAAAAATCAGTCTGTAAACAATTTTGTCACTTTTGTTCCACACAACATTTAAGAAATCTTAACTTCAGATTGTAACAACATAAAAGCAAAGGTTTTACAGATTAAATGCTGGCATTTAAGCTGCTCATTTAATCCAGACGCAGTTCTTAAAATGTGGGTATGCACTCAGTGTAAACAAAGCACTCGGCTGAATCTGCCAAAAGATGTGGAGTCAGATGATTGGAGCCAAACTAACAGAGGGTTAATCCAGGTAAACATACAGCAGAACTGTACAAGTGTGGGATTATAGTTGGGATTATCTGCTGCTAAACACAAAAGGAGTAAAACAAGTGGAGAGAATAAAGAGGCCTGATGCTGGAGCAGCATAAAATCAGCTCAGTGTTGTGTTTCCAGCTGCAGCTGTGTGTGTCTGCAGTGTTAAAGTCAGACATCTTGTGTTTACAGCCTCTGCAGCTTTTTCACTTGAAGACACGTTAAAGGGATCCAGGATTAGCTGTAACATTAGACTTTATTTGACAAAAGTTTATTTTAACTGTAAAATAAAGACTGTAAAAATACTGTAGGATGTTTAGTTTTTATCATTTTAAACTAAAAGTTAAAAATATATTTTAACACGGACAGAGCCATTTTATTTGCACACAAAGCATTCTGGGTAAATGATGACGTGGATGGAGGACAACAGAGCTGCTTCATGGAAGAAGAACCTCAGATTAGCCTGTTAGCCTTTGTGCTAGCTCCGACGGTATATTGCCTTATATGTATTAGCTCGGTGCTAGCACAACAAACAAGCAGCTCTGTTGTCCTCCATCCATATTTTCAGTTCCAGGCTGAGTCATTTCTACCTTCTCCTCTCTGTCAACGCTCTCTGGTTTCATTTAAAAGAGTCGATCATCAGATATTGTCCAAGATCACCATATTTATTCGTGTATAATACGATCTCATGTATAATACGATCTCATGTATAATAC